AAAATCCTGTAGCCCATATATTGTACCCGCGCATATGTATAATAGCTCCAATGCAAAACAAATAGATCACATGCTCTTAACACCCCTCCTCTGCAGATGCCTAAGAGAAGTGTTAGGTTTTGCAGAGTGACTGGAACTATGAAAACTCTGGGCAGTGATGATCATGGGAGAGAAACAGATTCCAAAGGCAAGATACCTTGCCAGCAGCTCCCTTTTTCTGAAACGAATGGTATGTAACTCCCATACCTTCACTGGTCACAGCTGTGATAGTATCACACAAGGTGAGAGGTAGTCTTAAGTAGAGATGTTTGGGAGTTTTTAGACAAAATGTTTTTCACCAGAAAATGCCAATGCATCAAAACAAACTGTTCACAGGAAAGGGTCGGTTTCAATAAATTTCCCATTTCAAAAACATTTTGGAAAATTGTTTTGAAAATGGTGAAGCAGCGTGTTTTATTTTTGAAATGAAAAAGTTCCGTTTGAAACAATGTTTTGTTTAGATATTTGGATGCTTTCCCAGTTTACCAATATTGCCTCAGTCTCTTTCTGGTCTGAGCGTTAGTCCTCATTCAACCCTCAATCTTGTATAAACAAGGGGCTATTCATCCCACTGCATCAGTTGATATTCCTCAATCAAGTTTGTGTTGTATAACTACTGTATTCTACAGCCATTTTAAAAATAAACATATACTTAAAGTAAATATCCAGAGCACTCTGCAAAAGAGCTTTATAGATTTAGGGCCACTACCTTTTCCTTCTTTGAACCTTTCCTTAAGACCCACCTCTGTTTGATTTCTTGTAGGCATCACATCAGTTTTTGATGTCTTGAAGAGCAGATGGAGTTAGCTGGAACTCACTTTATCTTTAAAAAATTGCAAATATATATAAATTGTGTATATTTGATTCTATTCCTCTTCCTGCCCTTACTCTTTGTATGTCATGATTTCTGAGGGCCAGATTCTGATCCCCTTACTCATGATATTCCCCTTTAAGTCATTGAAGTGTAAAATGCTATTCAATGTGAGTAAAATTGTCAAAATGTCCCTTAGATTGTCCTTCCCCCCAAAATCTTGCAGTGGGTGAAACTGTTTGGTGCACTGAAACTGCAGTCCAGGGAGGGAGTCCTAAAGTGACTTTCAGCCATCTTTGCACCTTCCAAAACCTTGGCTGCTCTGGAGCACCCTGGTGTAAGTTAGCCACGGGGAGCCTAAATTATGGCAGCCTCCTCGGGCTGCTATATAGGATGCAGCACTGCTTATAATCTTTGCAGCACTGTCTCTCCTCTGGCCCCATCTCTGACATGCCCCTCCACCCCCAGAAGATACTCCCTATGCTAGGACAGGCTAGGGGTACTCAGAAGGCAGCCTTATGGCTGTCTTCAATGGTTCCTGCCAGGGCCACCCAGAGGAGGGAGCAAGTGGGGCAATTTGCCCCGGGCCCCGCAGGGGCCCCCAAGAGTATGTCAGAGGCTCCCCCTGCCTCCGTCTTCCCCCATCCCCCGGCATCTCAGCTGGTAAGGGTGGGGGGCTGTGAGCTGCGGCCGAGCGGCAGGAGCTCAGGCCCCGCTGGAGACACCATGCCACTGCAGCGCTGGACGTGGCACACTGAGGTTCCGGGAGAGGGGGTAAGCGGCATGGTAAGGGGCCGGGCACCCCCACGACCCCATCCCCCACAGCCCTGACCCCCAGCTCTGAGCCCAGCCCCTCTGAGCCGGACACCCCCCTGACCCCATCTCCCCACAGCCCTGAGCCCAGCCCCTGTGAGCCGGACACCCCCCTGACCCCATCTCCCCACAGCCCTGAGCCCAGCCCCTGTGAGCCGGGCACCCCCCAACCCAGAGCCCAGCTCCCCACCCAGCCCTGGGCAACAGCAGCACCACCCCCAGGCAGCGACAGCCCATTGGCACCAACCATCACCATCACCCAGCAACAGCCCATTATGTAATTGAAAATGTATACATACCATTAAAACATTTAATGTTTTTAAATAATGTATATAGTGTATTTTCAAATTATTACAAATTAATTTTTGAATGTATTTCACTGGTTATTTTTTACATTTCCAAATACGTGTTACTATAGTATTGCAACTTGTTTTTATGGAAGGGGCTCCCGAAATTGCTTTGCTCCAGGCCCCCTGAATCCCCTGGGCGGCCCTGGTTCCTGCACTGGGGAAATCCTCCCTTAGGCCTGGTCCACACTACCCCCCCACTTCGGACTAAGGTACGCAAATTCAGCTACGTTAATAACGTAGCTGAATTCGAAGTACCTTAGTCCGAACTTACCGCGGGTCCAGACGCAGCAGGCAGGCTCCCCCGTCGATGCCGCGTACTCCTCTCGCTGAGCTGGAGTACCGGCGTCGACGGCGAGCACTTCCGGGATCGATCCCAGAACATCGATTGCCTGCCGTCGGACCCGTAGGTAAGTGTAGACGTACCCTTAGCTAGATACAGGGCTTTTAGAGCCTCTTTACACAGCTCGAGCCCTTTTATGTGGTATAAATGACTGCACCACAACTAAGGTGGGGCAGAGTTTGTCTGGGGCTTACCCAGGAAGGACAGCTCTGCTTTGTGATGGTGATAGTGGAGGAAGGAGGTCAGAAACTGTTGTAAAAAAGTGCTCGGTGGTCAGCTTTCCAGCAATGACTCCCCCCCCCCCCCCCCACCCCCCCCCCCCGGAATAAAGGTACGAAACCTGGGTGGGGAAAGTCTCTTTGTTCCATGCAGAAAGGTAGCCAGCACCCTCCCTCCCTCCCCTAGCGGAGACGAATGGCAGGCTGGGTTAGGACCTGCTGTGGGCATTATGCTAGTTGCTCCTTTTAAAGGGGGACTGGGAAGGAATTTTTCCTGCACCACCTGAACTGGCTTCGGTGGAGTGAGGTTTTTTCGCTTCCCCACAGCAGGTGTGAGGGAGGACCTTTTCTGGTGAGAAGAAAAGGTGGTAGGCCATATGTCGCAACTTATTTTGTAAGTGTGGGGCAGATGTCCAGTGCAGGTACTTCATAGGGAAGGCAGCAAGTGACCAGATAAATGGCCTGGTAAAGGACTTAAAAGGAGGTACTGGATAAAGGAACAGAATGGGGGAGGGGGTTGGGGACTCCTCTGATTGGTACGGCAGGGAGGCAACCCCCCCGTTCTCATAGCTCTCCTTAACTTTCTTACGAGGGTGATGGATGGTAAGGTCCAAGTCATAGGTCGGCTGGGGGACTTGGGTGGAAACAAAGTAGGGCTGGTGGAAGCCCCGAAGAATTGATTTTATAGTCCCAGACATCTATATAATAAAGTTGCAGCCTGATTAAAATCCATAACAAGTGTCTCCTGTCCTTCTTGCAGTGTACCCAGACAATTGGCTAAAGCATGGGTGAAGTTCTCATAGAATGTTTTATGCATTTGTACAGTGCTTAGTAGAATGGGACTTGGATTATGATTGGAGCCCGTGCATGCTACTGTTATACAAATACTAAATAGGAATAACATGGTAAATTCTAGCAAAAAGTATGTTAGAACACCTTCGAGGGGGTGACTTTAAAAAACCCTGCAGGAACAAGAGCACTGAATGGGAAAGCGTCTCAGTCTATCCTTAACCCACATTGTTTTGCTGCAGTATTTAGCAGCATTTGTTGTGAATGTGAGATCACTCACTGCTTTCAGGCCCAGATACATTTTAAGTCCACATTCCAATGTTACCACAAATGGAGTTTCAGAGTGGTTCTTGGAAATGCCTGCTATTTAAAAATATGGCTGTTAGTCCAGTTTTACACAGATCAGAGTTAAGCTAGTCTCTGCTTACACTGACTAGATTATCACTTTGCGTTAGTGTGTTTTACTCTTTGAGTCAATAAGGCTGTACAAGAAACCAAAGCAAAGTGATTTATGGCCTGAGGCTAGATGATTGCAACGATCTCTTTCAGCCTTAAAATCTTTGATAGTCCAGTATGAGCAAGATCATCTTACCCTTAACAATAGTTGGAGAATAGCTCTGATATTTAGATGATCTTTTGTGGCTCATTATCCAAGGAAATGATGATTATATTATAGTCCAGGTATGTGCATGTGCTTGTGTGAATGAGGACACTGGACGATCTTTTTGTTAAGGTTCCCAAAGTATGGGGCGTGCCCTCCTAGAGCCGCATGGCAGGACCTTTGTGGGGGGTGTGGGGGGCCCGGGGGTGAGGAGGGTGCCCCATCCAGCCCCTCCCCGCCCTGAGCTCTGCTCCAGCCCCACCTCCAGCCACGTTCCCAGCTCCATGCCTGGCCTTGTCCACAGCCTTGGTGGGGCTCCGCTCCCACCTGGGGCTGAGGCTGGGGGCAGGGTGAGGCCAGGAGTGATGAAGCTGCACCTGATTGTGAGCCTGGCGGTTGGCCCCCGCCATGACCCGGTTGTGACTCCGCTCTTGCTTTGGCCCCTGGCCACCGCTCAGACCCTGGCCCTTTTCCCATCCCCGTCCCCATCCCTGTGGCCCCAGCTTTGGCCCTCTTAGCCATGTCCACATTGTGCCCCACTCCCCCAGCCACATCCCACTCGTGACTCAGGGGGAGGGGCAGGGCATGGACAGGGATAAGGGAAGGGCGTGGCCTTCAATAGTTTGGGGACTGCTGCTTTAAACTAAAGGAGGCAGTGTGACAGTGGACAGACAACTGGACTGGAACTCAAGAACAGACTGGGTTCTGTTCTTGGCTCTGCCATTAGCCTGCTGGATGACCTTGGGCAAGTCACATCACCTCTATGTGCCTCAGTTCCCCCATCTGTAAAATGGACATAATGATATCTCCTTTGTAAAGTACTTTGAAATCTAGTAATGAAAAGTGCTATATAAAAGCTAAGTTGAGGTCTCACTCAGGATCCTTCTGGTTACCAGCATTTATTCCTCCTCAGAGTCTTAGAGTAATCATCATCATTATTGAAGAAGGATATTTTTTAAAGTCACAATGTTATATTTTTCTGTGATTCCAAAAGGGTAGCAGCTGTGAAACTTCTGTTTTTAACTTTGCTGTCTATTAGGTGTGCATTGTGCAGAAGAGAGACACCAAGAAAATGTATGCCATGAAATACATGAATAAACAAAAGTGTATTGAGAGAGATGAAGTCCGGAATGTCTTTCGGGAGCTACAGATCATGCAGGGCCTTGAGCATCCCTTCCTAGTCAATCTGTGGTAAGCAAACCTTTAACATTTTATCAGGCTCCTATTGTCTCCTTATTGCTGAACCAATTCAAATTGCTGGGAGTTGAAAGCTTGAAAGGATTCTTGCTGACTTTTTTCTGAAGCTATTTAATTTTTTCTGTAGTTTTGCCGCCATAAATATTTTAAAGGTGCCCTTTCATGTTGGAATGGTTAAACATCATAATTTGCCTTTTTTACTTTCTGGTGTGTGTTCTTTCTAAATTGCTACAGTAACTGTGTTTAAAAAAAACTTGGTCTCCCATGGTTTATTATTTTCTTTGACACTAGTTTTGCTAGGAGTTTGATTACAAGATTATGGTATATTGAAACCATATTGTGAACACTTATAAGGATAAAATAGCTCCTTGCTCAAAGCATGTCTGTTGATGCAGCTGAAACTAAAGGAAGGAAAAGCTTTTTGTCTAAGTAGAGTTAACTAGGCAGCCCATGAGACTAAAATTCTGGATCAGATGCAGCTTATAAATAACACTCTCTCTCTCTCTCTCTCTCTCAATGGGCCATCCCTTCCCTAGCTCATCTTGCCAATGCCAACTACAGTATCTCCAGAAGCTTCTCTCCTTTTTAATGTCTTTTAAGGACCATTTTCTTCTAGGTGAAATGGCTGTTTTCTCCTCTGGTACATTGTAGAACTGCAGCAAATTACTCAGTTATTCTGGATGTTTACTTCATAAGACTGAGAATAATGGATGTTGTGGGCAGCCATTGTTATAATAAAGATAGTGATATGACATTTGAATGTAGCTGGGAGTTGCAGTAGTTTGGAAATAAAGAGAATAACAGGTATCGTTCAACAGGTGGAAAGTTCAAAAGGAGGTGGCCTGACTCCAGTGATGATTCAAATATTGTCATAGATGTGGCAGTAGGGAAAGTATTTTGCTGTTTGACTTGTCCTAGCTTCATGGGTAACAGAATCTCTGTCATTCCCCAAAGTACTCTTCTGTTTTGGAAACAGAACTAATGGCTGGGAATAGCATTCAAACATCTATCCATCCCCAGCTACTTTCATGATCTCCGCCATTATGGTATGTGAGTGCCCCAGCCTCGCATGGTGGATCTGAGAATTTTTTGGCAAACAGACAATGAGTAGATCAGATATACCTCTGGCGACTTCATAAACTGTATTGCTTATGTCTCAGGACACTGGCAATGGGATGCAAGTTTTTCACCTCTGATCTGAAAATAACCTGGATTAGTTGCTGTAGGGATCAAAAGTCATTGCCTTTTCATAGCTCTTCACTTAGCACATAGGTTCATGCTCTGTAGGTGTCCATGGGGCAAACCGGCTGTTGTTCGTGCTTCGGAGTGTTGCTAGTGTTGCTTTTCTTGGACCTCTGGTGTTAGCTGCACTAGCAGAGAGTGCAACATGTTGATTCAGCAGACCGCAATGTTAGTCATAAAGAGAGACCACAGGCTTGGTTCAGTGGCAAAAGTGCTCAGCCAGGTTTATTGTCGACAAAGCACAATAATAGTGTCCCATAGGAGCTACAGGTACACTAACATGTACGCCCATGACAAGGTTCCAGTTCAATCAGCACACCTGGATGCTGTCCCCTAGACTAGTACAAATATGTCTCTCCTATGACTGCTCCTTTTTATACATTGATACAAACAAGTTATGAATTACATTCCACGTGTTGTTAGTTACCACCCTTATCCTTATACCTGGTAGTTTGAATGTAACATCCTCATCCATTATCCTGCCATCCCTTCTTTACCTTTACGAGAGATCAGTGTGTTCTTGTACCATCTCTTAAGAATGTGTTTACGTAGTTACTTGAGAACTCTGTCTGTTTCTGTTCCATCCTGTCAGGTCAGGAATGCACTTACTTGGTTAGCTGACACCCAATATTCCTATTCTAACAAGCCCTACCCTAATTCATAGCCTCGGTTCATACTGTTTAGCCATGCCTAGGGCTCCAGCAAGGCCTACGCAGGCTTGTTACAGTTCTTGGCTGTCTTAGACTCATAGACTCATAGACTCATAGACTTTAAGGTCAGAAGGGACCAATATGGTCATCTAGTCTGACCCCCTGCATGATGCAGGCCACAAAAGCTGACCCCCCCACTTTCCCTTAGCTCTGCTGTTGAAGTCTCCAGATCGTGATCTAAAGACTTCAAGACGCAGAGAATCTTCCAGCTTGCGACCCCTGCCCTATGCTGCGGAGGAAGGCGAAAAACCTCCAGGGCCACTGCCAATCTACCCTGGAGGAAAATTCCTTCCCGACCCCAAATATGGCGATCAGCAGAACCCCGAGCATACAGGCAAGATTCTCTAGCCAGACCCTCATTTGACCAGCGATGGCCGTTATTGCCTAATTGATTAGAATCACGTAATCCCATCAAACCATTCCCTCCATAAACTTATCTAGCCTAATCTTGAAGCCAGAGAGGTCTTTCGCCCCCACCGTTTCCCTCGGAAGGCTGTTCCAAAATTTCACCCCTCTGACGGTTAGAAACCTTCGTCTAATTTCAAGCCTAAATTTCCCCACGGCCAGTTTATATCCATTCGTTCTCGTGTCCACATTAGCACTGAGCTGAAATAATTCCTCCCCCTCCCTGGTATTTATCCCTTTGATATATTTAAAGAGAGCAATCATATCCCCCCTCAGCCTTCTTTTGGTTAGGCTAAACAAACCAAGCTCCTCGAGTCTCCTTTCATAGGAAAGGTTTTCCATTCCTCGGATCATCCTAGTTGCCCTTCTCTGTACCCGTTCCAGTTTCAGTTCATCCCTTTTAAACATAGGAGACCAGAACTGCACACAGTACTCCAAGTGAGGTCTCACCAGCGCCTTGTATAACGGAAGCAGCACCTCCCTGTCCCTACTAGAAATACCTCGCCTTATGCATCCCAAGATCGCATTAGCTTTTTTCACAGCCACGTCGCATTGCCGACTCATAGTCATCCTGCGATCAACCAGGACTCCGAGGTCCTTCTCCTCCTCAGTCACTTCTAACCTATGCGTCCCTAGCTTATAACTGAAATTCTTATTAGTCATCCCTAAATGCATCACCTTACACTTCTCACTATTAAATCTCATCCTATTACTAATACTCCAATTTACAAGGTCATCCAAGTCTCCCTGCAGAATATCCCGATCCTTCTCCGAGTTGGCAATGCCTCCCAACTTTGTGTCATCCGCAAACTTTATCAGCCCACTCCTACATTCGGTTCCGAGGTCAGTAACGAATAGATTAAATAAAATCGGACCCAGAACCGAACCTTGAGGAACCCCACTGGTGACCTCCCTCCAATCTGACAGTTCACCTTTCAGTACTACCCTCTGCAGTCTCCCCTTTAACCAGTTCCTTATCCACCTCTGGATTTTCCTATCGATCCCCATCTTATCCAATTTAACCAATAATTCCTCATGCGGAACCGTATCAAACGCTTTACTAAAATCGAGGTATATTAGATCCACCGCATTTCCTTTATCTAGAAGGTCTGTTACTTTCTCAAAGAAGGAGATCAGGTTGGTTTGGCACGACCTGCCTTTCGTAAACCGATGTTGTAATTTGTCCCACTTGCCATTCACCTCAAGGTCCTTAACTACTTTCTCCTTCAAAATTTTTTCCAAGACCTTACATACTACAGAAGTTAAACTAACAGGCCTGTAGTTACCTGGGTCACTTTTTTTCCCCTTCTTGAAAATAGGAACCACATTAGCTATTCTCCAGTCCAACGGTACCACCCCCGAGTTTACAGATTCATTAAAAATTGTCGCCAAGGGGCTCGCAATTTCTCGCGCCAGTTCCTTCAGTATTCTAGGATGAAGATCATCTGGTCCGCCCGATTTAGTCCCGTTTAACTGGTCAAGTTTGGCTTTCACCTCTGATACTGTAATGTCTATCCCCCCTCCTCTATTCCCCTCTGTCCTACTCCCTCTATTCCTAAACCCTTCATTAGCCTTATTAAAGACCGAAGCAAAATATTCATTTAGATATTGTGCCATGCCTAGATTATTCTTAATTTCCACTCCATCCACATTCTTCAGCGGTCCCACTTCCTCTTTCTTTGTTTTCTTCCTATTTATATGGCTATAAAACCTCTTACTATTGGATTTAATTCCCCTCGCAAGGTCCAACTCTACACGGCTTTTGGCCTTTCTCACCGCATCCCTACATGCTCTAAACTCACTAAGGTAGGTTTCCTTGCTGATCCCTCCCTTCTTCCATTCTCTGTACGCTTTCTGTTTTTTCTTAATCGCCCCTTTGAGACTCCCGCTCATCCAGCTAGGTCTAAATCTCCTGCCCACTAATTGTTTTCCCTTTCTCGGGATACAGGCCTCAGACATCTCATGCAACTTCTGCTTGAAATAATCCCAGGCGTCATCTGCCTTTAGATCCCTAAGTATGTTAACCCAATCCACTTCCCTAAGTAGTCGCCTTAATTTATTAAAGTTGGCCTTTTTGAAATTGTAAACCTTAGTTACAGTATCATTTCTGTTAATCCTTCCATTAAGTTTAAACTGAATTAGCTCATGGTCACTCGAGCCAAGGTTGTCCCCTACAACCATTTCTTCAACGAGGTCCTCACTACTCACCAGCACTAAATCTAAAATGGCATCCCCCCTCGTCGGTTCACTTACTACTTGATGAAGGAATTCATCTGCTAGCACGTCTAAGAACATCTGAGCCCTATTATTGTTACTAGCATTTGTTACCCAATCTATATCTGGGAAGTTAAAGTCCCCCATGATGACACAGTTCTTATCAGTTTTTATTTCCCTAAAAACATTAAGTAGTTCTTTGTCTGCCTCCAGGCTAGATCCTGGCGGTCTATAACACACCCCAAGCACTATCTCGGGGGAGGCTCTAGTAGTTCTTTTATGCAGTGTAATTATTGCCCATACAGACTCTGTCTTATCCATCCCATCACTTATTATTTCTTTACATTTTATCTCGTTATTGACATATAACGCCACTCCCCCACCTTTACCTTTTTTCCGGTCATTCCTAAACAGCACATACCC